CCATGATAGCATCTTCGCAGTGCTAAAATAGAAAGCAAAATACATAGCAATATTACGTTTCAATATCACTACGGCAGAGGAGATGCTGCTGCAAATATCATTAAGTCGTGGCGTTTCTCGATAATAAGGACTGTCGTATTTTAATGTGCAACAGAGACCAAGAAGGTGCAGGTAGCAGTTTATTTCGGTTGCAAAGGGTTGCCGTTCCCCTTCGTCACATTTACGAGTTCGATCAAGCGACGACGTCAAACAAGATCCCTACGTCCTCAAGCGGGTCTTCAATTATCAGAAGTGAGTTGTATATAATTATGTAGTCGAAACGGCAGCAATATTTGCGACCAAGTTATCTACTGTCTTAACATATAGATTGCTGAGCAACTTTTAGAATTTCCTTGGACACACATCTAGGAAAGAAATACTAACATTTTGAAGGTAGTGGGCATCATAAAGTAAATTTTCGTTTGTTCATATTAAAAAGGGTTGGCAATACTGTTTGCACTCAAGACTTAAAATTGCATTCAAAGGCAATGCTTTAAGTTTGCTAATTGGCTTTAGCCCAAAAATATAAAGAAAAAAACCTGAATTGGTAAAGTTTTACCGTATCATATTCGTTGCTTTGGAAATGTCCCCTTCGAGTATGTGATGGTATGTCACTTACAATACAGTCAAACTGAACGTGAAAATAAACAACATAGGCCGTGTCAGACAAGTTAGGGAACATAAAATTTAGGGGAAGCGCTAGACCATGCACCAAACTTACAGTGGCCTCCATCCAGTCAATGATAGAAATCCACTTTTTACTCGTCCTGTAGTTCGCCCTGCCTTCGTTAACAGCCTCTCTAATGGTATTGTCAACAGTATAAAGGATCTAGTAGAAGGAGTGATAAGTACATTCGTATTGTTAAGACAAAACTGACCGTATTACGTTGGACAAAGGCATATATCAAAAAGCAAAGTGTAGAGTAACCGATCAGCAGGACAATTACCGCATACTAAAAAGGAGATGAAAGTAAATTCACTGAAAGTTGATCACCTACCGCAATGAGAACATTTGCATCAGCCCGAAGTGCTCCATATAGACCAAAGAACGCAACAGCAATTATGAAAAGCCCAAGCACAATGGCGGCAGTCGCAACGGTGGTCGAAATCGTCAGAAGTTCGGCTACGAGTGGGCCGTCAAAATGGACCATGTCAAGGATTCCCAGGATAACAAGGGCCAAACCAAAGACCTGATGGGAGAAGGTAATAAAGGAGATGCGTTTAAATTCAGCAAATATCTTCTATGAAGCCGATAATTTTGGACTGGTAACCCCCCCTCCCGTAAAGCGCGCATCTTCATGCTACTTAAAGCTGACGTTTGTGGCCCTTTGCGCATACGTACATCATATAACACAATATGCTTCGAAACTAAGTCTCGAAAGGGTATGAATAAAAAAGTCAGGTAAAATAGATTGCAGTATATGGGAGCGAAACTTATAAAGGAGAGGATATTGCAAGCTGCAATGACGACTTTTATTATTTTCGAAGTCTTTATCAACCCCGCCATTATAAGAAATCTTCGCACCAGCAAAGGCCTTGGACAATTTATAAACCTTCTCTTATATAGGCTTCCCATCAAAGACAAGTATTAGTTTATGCGACTGAAAGGGCATCACCCGCACAGTAATGCGTTAAAAGTGTTTTGGTATATAGGAAGTGTCATTCAGGTCTATGAGGGTACATTCGATTTAAAGTAGTCTGAGTGCATATGTTTTGCGTCAAATCCTGAAAGAAAGATCTCGTAACGAAACATGGTTTAGGGCAGGAAGAGATCAGTCCGCCCTACATTGTGTAAAATGGGCAGTTTATGGCCTTTTGTCCTATTGTGCTGGCAGACCACTTTCCAGTAAAGTGCACATCTTGCTGCCATTTCAAAGATATGTTTTGTGACATGTGTGCTTACGTACAACAAATTACCCAATATGCTTTAAATAAGCCTGGGAACAGTTTGAAGTAAAATCACTTTAACCTATTATCTGTAACTGTTAATGAACAAGCAGGGATCCCTTAAACCAGCAGGCATTGTGTATGGTAGGTTAAAAGCTTATTTTAATGACAGTTGGCTATTATGATTATTTAATTCTACAATAGTCATAGTAACGACCATTCCCAACGGCTGTGGTACACTGAAAATAGATGTCAAGTGCTGAAATGTTTATTTTGGTGAGCTACGGTTGATTTTGTTGAACTTTAACTGTTCTGAAGACCATGTCATCCGCTAAGTAGTTTGAAGCGATAAATATTCGAGTGAAATGGATTGCAGTTTATAGGAGAAAGAGAGAGAGACTTACAAAAGAGACGATATTCGAAGCGACAATGACGAAATTTATGATTTTTGCAGTGGTTGACAAGCCGGCCATTATTAGAAATGTTCAAACCAACAAAAGATTTGAACATTTTCTTAGGCTTCTATTATATAGGCTTGCCAGCGCAGACAGGGATTGGTCTATGTAACGGAAAGGGTGTCAATCGTTGGGGACCGACCCGGGCAGTAATGTTTAATATTGTTTATGAACGGAGAAATTGTCAATTATGTATATGCGAATACTTTCGAGCGAAGACAGGGTAGGAATACTAAGTCATCGCTTGGAAACACCTACATGAACTTGTTGTGCGCCAAATCCCGCGAGAAAAATCTCGCAGCCACATAAAGATTGCGGTGGAAATGGACTAGCCCACCCTCCGTTGCATATGGTCTGCAACTTATGGGTTTTTGCTCGTATGTGTTTCCTATGGCTTGTTTTCGGGTAATTAGATGGTAAACTTATTTTCAAATGCGAATAAATCCAAATGACCTCGGACAACTGTGTTTTTAGTCTTCAAA